AAGCAACTCTCTTTTCGCTCATATTTTACTAGGTCACTCAATATTTAATTAGATTATGTTAGTACAATAACAAACTCAGCAAGCACAGGAAGGACTGGGAAGAAACCCAGCTCTATGACCCTTGGAAAGCATTCCCTCAGTGCAGGGGGCATGGGGGCACTCAAAGAAATACTATGGGTTCCATGCCAGCTATGAGTGCCCAGCAGGCTGTGGACTTCAGTCAGTGGCTTCTATAGAAGGAAGAGCCGAGAAAACTCGTGAATTTGTGACTTGGTTAAGAAATGGGTTGGCTCATGCCTGTAATCCCAACACTTTGGGAGGCCAAGGCGGATGGATTGCCTGAGCTCAGGAGTTCGCAACCAGCCTGGGCAACATGGTGAAACCCCGTCTCTACTAAAATACGAAAAATTAGCCGGGCATGGTGGCGGGCACCTGTAGTCCCAGCTACTTGGGAGGTTGAGGCGGGAGAATTGCTTGAAACCAGGAGGTGGAGGGTGCAGTGAGCCAAGATCATGCCTCTGCACTCCAGCTTCAACAGAGCAAGACTCCGACTCAAAAAAAAAAAAAAAAAAAAAAAAAAAAAAAAAAACAGTAAAAAGTAAAAATGGAAATATCATATAATCCAGCAATACCACTTCTGGGTATACTACCAAAGGAAATTAGCACCTTGAAGAAATATCTTCAGCCCCGTGTTCATTGTAGCACATTTACAATAGCCAAAATATGGGGGGGGGGTGTGTATATACACACACACACATATATATACACACACATACAGTAGAATACTATTCAGCCATAAAAGAAAAAGAAATCTAGCCATTTACAACATGGATAGATCTGGAGGACATCATGCTAAATTAAATCAGCCAAACAGACAGACAGACAAAGAAACTGCTGCTGCTTCTCACTTAGACAGGGAATCTAAAAATGTAAACTCATAAAAGCAGAAAGTAGAATGGTGGTTGTTGGTGCCTAGGGGTGGGACCATAATGAGATGTTGTTCAAAGAGTACAAATTTTTAGTTATAAGTTGAATAAGTCTGAGAAATCTAATGTACAATAGCATTAGATTAGCAAAATAGCATTGTGTTTATAGTTAGTAATACTATAATGTATACTTACAATTTGCTACAACAGTAGGCCTTAAGTGTTTTTATTACCAAAAAAAAAAATGGTTATCTATGTAGGTAATAGATGTGCTGATCAACCTGACTATATTTTACAATAAAATATATGCATATCAAATTATTACAAAATATGTGCATATCATTACATTGTAAACATTAAATACAGTTATACTATTTTTACCAGAAAAATCCATATCACACATACACAGATGTACAGTAAGTTCTCACTTAGTGTAAAAAACAGGTTCTTGAAAACGGCAACTATAAATGAAGCCATGTTGCTATATACCAAACATAACTCTTGTTTATATCAATTAAACTCTGGTAAAATTTGTTTGTTTGAGACAGAGTTCTGCTCATGTCATCTAGACTGGAGTGCAATGGCGTGATCTCGGCTCAATGCAACCACTGCCTCCCAGGTTCAAGTGATTCTCCGGCCCCAGCCTCTCGAGTAGCTGGATTACAGGGGCCCCCTCACCATGCCCAGCTAACTTTTTTTATTTTTAGTAGAGATGGGGTTTTGCCATGTTGGCCAGGCTGGTCTTGAATTCCTACCCTCATGATCCACCTGCCTCAGCCTCCCAAAGTGCTGGGATTACAGGCGTGAGCCAACGCACCCAGCCCTAAGATTCGCTTTCTAAAATGATACGTTGCTTCACTTAGTTTCCAAGAATCTATCAACAATGTTAAGAATTTACTATACACAGTGGCTCAAGCCTGTAATCCCAGCACTTTGGGAGGCCGAGACAGGCGGATCACGAGGTCAGGAGATCGAGACCATCCTGGCTAACACGGTGAAACCCCATCTCTACTGAAAAATACAAAAAACTAGCCGGGCGAGGTGGCGGGCGCCTGTAGTCCCAGCTACTCAGGAGGCTGAGGCAGGAGAATGACGTGAACCCAGGAGGCGGAGCTTGCAGTGAGCTGAGATCTGGCCACTGCACTCCAGCCTGGGCAAGAGAGCCAGACTCCGCCTTAAAAAAAAAAAAAAAAATTTACTATACACATATATAACTTATTTAGGTATATGTGAGAGAAACATATTTTTATATAGCTATAGATAGACAGATACATCTCAATGACAGAATCTCAGGCTTCCTACTAAATAAGACAAAATTATAACCGTTACTAAGAAATAAGGTAACGATTGAATGCTTAATATTAGCAATGTTCTAAGCTGGTTAATGTCATAGTACATTTAAGAAATCTAGAAGGTGAGTAAATATTTTAATCCAGTGGGGGCCAAACCTTTGAATGAGAGGGCTTTTTTGCTTATCTAAGGTGGTGGATATCACAAAAATTATTCACCAACCTTTTTCTTTAAGTTCATCAGCTATCATTAGTATTAATGTATTTTATGTCTGGCTCAAGACAATTCTTCCAATGTGGCCCAAGGAAGCCAAAATATTGGAAACCTGTGCTTTAAACTATATTATAATTTGAAAATTTGCACATACAGAGTTTAAACCACAAATCTCAGTTTATACTAAAACAATAACATTCTGAAGTAACATTACATTTTTTTCATATTTAGGAAAATGCTTATTCTGATAAAACTGCTGAGTAAGAATTTTTGTAGAATTATATTTGCAACCTCTATAGGATTAAAAATCACTAAGCAGAAAAGATACAACATCTCTCTCTGGTGTTCCTGGGATTTCTGAACCAAATTCCAATATGTCCACTACTCACCTTACACATTTTAGACACGATACAAAAAGAATATTTGAAAAAAATACATTGACATAGAGCTCAATATACACATATTTCTATGTTTCCAAAAGCAATGGAACAGCAGTCAGATCATGCAGCCCCTTATAAACAATAAAGTAGACATTGGCTCTCCCTGTAAACTTGAAGGGAGATCACTAAAGAAAAAAGAGAATTCTTAGAAGACTTACCAGCGTGGGACAAAAGATGTCCCTATTCGTGAATATGAGAAAAAAATGCAGCCTTTTCAGAAATTATTTACATTGGAGCAGAGTTTCCCAAACTACATTTGAAGGCCTGGCTTCCTTCTTGACCTTGTTCCCCTGGCCTATGTCCTCTCCTTCATTCACTGTCACCTACCTGGGTGTTTGGCTACTGTCTCATGTATCTTCACATTGTAGGGCTCCTTTCTTTGCTCCAGAAAGGTGACCAGGTCTGGGTTAGAGATAGCAACACCTGTTTTAGTTTTAAAAATTAACATGACTACTGTTAGGGATTCTCCAATTACCTACCTAATACTATACTAAGCAGAAAAGAGAAATTATGGAAGATCCTAGATAATCCAAAAATTGTTTCCTGACAGAATCCTTAAAATATTTAAGTATTTTAAATCTGTGGGTTCTAAGTTCCACTACCAAGTACTACTGAATCAAAATAAGCAGTGCAAACTGTATTTTAAGATGTGGGAAACAATATTTTATGTCATTGAATTTCAAGAATTACCACTAACCTAGAATGGAGGACACAAATTAGCTCAAGAAAAGAGAAGGTTTACATAAAGATAAAACTTCTTAACAATATTCTTTTTTACACCAGAAAACTCCCAATAGTTTCTTAAAGAAAGAAACTGAAATTAATTCACACAAAGCAGAAGCTCCCAAGAGACATTCTACAAAAATAGAAAATCAAACTCTGAGGGAGTATTAGGAATTATGTATTGAAGTTATCCTCACCCAGGGAGACCAGGTTTCTGTAGTTCTCCAACATCACATCTCTATATAAATTCTGCTGTGCAGGATCCAGGCATTTCCACTCTTCTGGAGAGAATTCTATGGCCACATCTCTGAATGTTAAGTGTTCCTGAAAATATATATGTATCAAGTGACAGAGTTCTTAATTTGACTACAGGTGAAATGAGTTAAGAGAACTAGTTCTGACATGTGACTGACTGGGATTATCTGACAAAATAACTTTCAACACAGTAATGTTCTCTAAAGTATTCTATAGCTTCGCGGAAAAAGGAAGGCATTCCAACAGTTCCTGTTCCTGCAATAAAAATAATGGGCTACACTGACCTGCCCCTACCAAAACCAAGCAGAGTAGGCCCTGTGACCTCCTGGAAAAAAGATTGAACTCACCTCTCATGAAAGTATCTGGAATGCCTCACGCTTGACCTTAGCCTCGCTGTAATATGCAAGGAACTTAATTTAAAAATCAGAAATGTTTCCACCCAGAACAACAGACGGGGTCTGTGGGGAGGGCACAAGTGATTTCTCTTCAAATTGTACATGTGATCCTACTGGAAGACTGTGCTGAGAGTCACTTAGCTAAGCACTGCCTCTCAAGCTTCAATGCGCATAATAATTATTTGATATTCTAGGCCTCACTGTAACAAAATTTTGCAGGTTTGAAGAGTTCATGAATTAGCTTCTTATAGCAAGTCTTCTGTTAATGCTGATGTTCCTCCACCTAGACACATTATATTACCACTCGGCTAGAGAAAGCAGGCACAGCACAGTCCCTTACCCCAACAACCTTATCACAACACAAATACTTTTCATCCCAAGACAAGACCACAAATCATCATCCTGAAGCATTAGCATTCTCTGCCGGATATTTAAGTTCACAGAGGCTGGAGATGGTGTCAATGTCTGAGTAAGTCTGCATTTGAAAAACAACATGTGGTCCAGGCGCAGTGGCTCATGCCTGTAAATCCCAGCACTTTGGGAGGCAGAGGCGGGGGGATCACAAGGTCAGGAGTTTGAGACCAGCCTGGCCAATATGGTGAAACCCCGTCTCTACCAGAAATACAAAAATTAGCCGGGCGTAGTGGCGTGCGCCTGTAATCCCAGCTACTCAGGAGACTGAGGCAGAAGAGTCACTTGAATCCAGGAGGTGGAGGCTGCAGTGAGCCGAGATCACGCCACTGCACTCCACCTGGGCGACACACTGAGACTCCATCTCAAAAAAAAGAAAAAAGAGAATTCTTAGAAGACTTAACAGCGTG